GGGTACTTACCACATTTCGTCAAGCACCAAAGGCTCTTCGCGTAGAAACGCTTCCAGACATGCATATAAAGAAAGTTGTTCTGAACGAGCCTTCTTGGTAGCAGGTCCGTATTTGAGTACTTCAGGCAAACTTTTCAGGCAAGTTATATCATACATACCAGAAAGCTCTGGTGTCCAATCCAAATATGCAGTTACCATTGCAGATGATGGTAATTTAATAGCTTCCGATTCATCATCTGGCAGATTAACTGTTTTATTATTTTCATCAACGAGTAGCAGGGACAATTTAGATGCACCCACTTCAGAGGAACTGCTTTTCTTGGCCTTTTTCAATCCACCATTTTTATCTTCTTCCTCAGAATTATTAAACCGGGCTGACCTCCCAGGGATGCTAACATCAGAATTTCCTCTCTTGCCCACAGATTCTTCCTTCCGAAAAGGTGAAAGCATATTTTGGACAATGCAATGGATTATACCTTTCGTGAGCGCATTTTCACGTGAAGCTGATGAGAGAAGAGGTGTTCCATAGGGTTTCAATTGTGCTGTACTTCCACGTTTCCTTTTCCTGAAACATGATACTCCTGTTAATAACTGTTCAATGTAGTAATATTGTTCAACGACAATGAGATGACAAAGAAGAACGCATATAGATGATAAAACATAATCACTGCTACGATAGAAATTCCTCAAGGATTTATGAAAAAGTAAGGCCACAAAGAATAGAGAGTCTTGAAGTTGTTAGAAAGGAAATCCAAAGAAATTGAATGCCAAAGTGGGACTTTATTATCTCAATCTAATCCCTAGAATTAGTTCATACAAAGTAGACTGGGATGTAACTTACTGATCTCTGCGGCGGATTACTAGTCTAAGCAAAGCCGTATTCTCTGAAGACTTTGAAAGTTTGTATGCAGCAAGGTGATCATCGTCTTTGATAGTGGACAATGGAATTAAAGGGTCTTCAAACAATCTATGGATCAAATTATTTTGAATCTGCGACAAACATATTAAACTTAGTTCAAGGAAAAGCCAAAAGACTGAAAATCTTACTTAAAGCCACAAACCTCTGCCAGCTTCAGCTCTTCACTTGGCTTTAAGGAACAAGCACTTGCTAATGCATGCGTCAAGTCTCTGCAACATCCCTCCTCTGCAACGTTGACGGTGATTGTGGAAGGTAAGGCAGGTTTATCATAAGAAAAAACTGTGACTGTTATTGCTCGTGTAGTGTTGAACTGAAGCGGCAAAGATAGGTGCATGAAGGGATCAAATGTTACGGAAACCTTCTTGCAGAGAGTACATACTAATGTTGACTTATATTGCCCCTGTAAGATGAGACACAAAGTAGGAAAATGAGATTCCCAGCTTACTAAAAACTGAAACAAAAGAGAAATAACAATTACCCTGGCTCTGTATCACCAGTTAAAAAATTGAATGCCTAATAGAAAAGCTGATATCTGATGCATGATATTAGCATTCATCCAACCGAGATTAACATAATGTCTCAAGACTACATTCCATAAGCACAACTGATGTACCCATTGCAAATACCACATCTCTACGAAAAGTTGCACAAGTTTTTAGAATAAATAAATTCTCTTGGTATTTTTACTTCATACAGAGCCAAAAAGTGCTAAAAAATTTAAAAGATGTACATCTTACCTGAAAAACATCGACGATTATTGAGTCACTACGAGCAATCTGATTAGCCCAAAACTCATCAGCAACTTCTTCATCAGGACGACCATCTGCGTCTCGCGAATTTATACATGGTTTGTGTTTAACACGGTTTAGGTCTTCATGAAGACCATCCAACAAAAACGCTAAAAGCTCCTGCAATGTAAGATTCCCCTAATTCCTTGAGTTACAATGACAATACAGCTAAAAGAAAATTTCTGGTTAGTCTGGCAAACCTGTGAATCATGTTGATTGTATCCACTGAATTGAGGAGCAAAGCAAGCAAGTTTTTCTTTGAATGGACCGGGTTCAATTGGTGTGCTCCCAGGAGCCCATAACTTTCTAAGCAAGTCACCAAATGCAAGAGCTAATTCTCCCTGTGAATAATGATTTATAAACAGTCAAGTAATGATCTGGAATTAACCATTCACAGTTCAGAGAGAAACAATGCTGGTGATCTACACGAGAAAATGTCACTGATTAGCTGCCAAGGAAACACTATCTAAATCAACTTGAGATAAGATATATTTACATGCAACACAATTTTATTAAGCATACCTATACACACACTTATGTATTCATCATATTAATGAGTAACAAGGAACTTCAAGAGGAACTTACAACCATGCCAAGACGGTTTTGCCGATTTATATCTTGATGATAATCTTCTTGGAAGTAACTAGCAAACTCAGGTGTATGAACCAGACACTGTATTGCACTATTCATAAAACAGGTATTCCCGAGATTCAGCAGCCCTCTCAAGCCAGCAGTGACTCCCCTTGTGGTGACACCAGTGCTACTGTATGTGCTATCACTTCTGAATGCATTCCTGTTTGAATTGAAACCTCCAAACTTTTTATAAACTCCAGACATCAACATAGTAATAACCTTAAAATCATAACATAAGCAGACATTTCTTCTAAACTCAAGGATTTGTTTTCAAAAAAGAGAAACAAAAATTCATAACAGCCAAAAGAAAGAGCCCTGATTTGATTTCATGATTGCTTCAAATCAATCTCACTTTTTCCTGAAAGAGCATCCTTCGGTGAGCTTAGCCCAATTTTCCTCCAACTTCAAATTCGGTGAGTCCTGTTACAAGCAGAAAATTGATTAACAACAAAAAGTATACACAAACTCTAAAAACTCTCTCAGCAGTAGTTATACCTTCACAGAGCTTCTAGTCTGACCTGACTTCATCCCTAAAAACTCTAAAAACTCGATCCTCGCTTTCGCTTTCTTAGCATCGCCTTTAGATTTGTCCTGTTACCAGCAACGCAAGTGTATTTAGAATTTATTAACAACAGAAAGGAGCTTCATCCCAGAATAAGACACTTGTGCCAAGCGTTTCTTCTACGCATGACATATTTTGAAGATAAAAATAACAGATACCTGAACAAGACTTTCTCCTCCAAGGTAGTCTTCGGAAAAAAACTTGTGATCTCTGCAATTCTTGGGTGGAAAGTCAGTATCACTCCAAGTAACCACACCAAGTAAAATTTGACGCCCGTTCAAATGTCGACAATGCTTCTTTTGCAGGGCCTACAGTAAATAAAAGATTCAATTAGTTTCAAATAACTACTTGTATAATTTCAACATTTCAAATTATAAATCACTCCCACCTTCTCTGCTTCGTCAGCAGAAGCAAATTCGACAAAGCCATCAGTCCTAACGTTGCCCTTGAGGTTTACAAGACGCTGAACACGTACAACCTGTCCAGCATCTTTGAAGAAATCAATGCTGTAAAAGTGGATACAATATCAGTCATGAAAAACTTGCACCGAGAAAGAGAGAAAGTGGACATTTATGGTGCTACTTACAAATCTGATGTTATAGCTTTGGTAGAGAGATTGGAAAAAAAGAGCGTCTTTTTTCTTCTTCTTATATACGCTTCCTGAAATTAATAACACACTTGGCGCTTAAGGAGAAATTTACTTCAATTGAACAACAACAAAAAGGAAATTCATCCTAAGAATACCTTCACAGAGCTAACGCAAGTCTGACCAGGCTTCATCTCTACCCTGACAGACAATAGAGTATAAATAGTTGTATTTAAAATTGCCATCAAAGACAAGAGGATCTTAGGTTACCTTCTCCTTGGTCTCCGAAAGATCTACCAACTTTCGCTTATTACCTATAAGAAGAGCAGCCACGACAAAGTGAATCAACAATTGGCCATAGAGAAACCAAATAAAATGAGAGCCAATTTAAACGGACCCATAGCTAATTTTTCTTGCTAGAACTGGCAGTAAAGAAGATGAAAACAGTGACAGTATTTTCAGGCAAGATGCCGCAAATGGAGGAGATGCAAATTAACCCTAGAAGACGGTATTTATAGAACGATTATCCGGTTTGGGCTGGGCTTTAATTGCTTGGGTTGCTCTATTGCTTTTCTAAAGAGTTACGAACCTTTAGAAAAACAAAAACTAAGTGGTAGTATTTAGCATTCTCAAAATTCTCAGAAAAAAAGATTTCTTCAATAATAAAACTAAAAGAGTGATAAAACCCACCAATTTATTTTAGATTTCAAAGTTGATGTTGGGGACACACATTGGTTGCTACTTGGCGAAAAATAACCATAATTTGTAAGCATGTGCATATTGAAACCGTTATTATTATGCTCGTAATATTGACTTTAATGTTATGCTATTAAGCAAAACTAGGATAGTACCGGGATGAAATGAACATATAGAAATGAAATTTCAAATTTGCAATTATTTTTTTTATTTTGTATAGTAATGTGTTTCACCTATGAATAAAAAATACATAAAGTGAACCGAACCGAATCAAAATTCACCAATTCGAACCAAGACAAAAATATATAATAATTCGAATGGGTACAAAATTTTACTTTGTTTCTATGTTTTATATTTTTGAATTAATTAGCAGTATTTTATATCAATATATTTGATCTATTAATTTTTGACATAGTTTTAGTTATAGTATGGTTTATGTATTTACCAAATCTTAAATTGCTAACACATATTTTTCCAAACAAAAACGAATAATATTGTTTTCAATCTAAAATGTATTTAGTTATTTATCAACTATTGTTAAAATATATTTTGAACAATTCTTTTACATGTTCATAGCTTTCAAATATAAATATGAAAACTAATTTATTTTACTTTTGTCAAATTACATATATGGAATTTGTACGTAGATTTAATTGAAAGATTTAATATTAAATTTTGAAATAGTTGTTTTTGGCAAATTTATGAATATTCAAATTTGTTTGGCAATTGGATTTAGAGTAATGGTAGGTAATATTTTGAAATATTTGTGTTTAGT